CCCACGTCCTGCAGCCAGCAGTCCCACTGCAGCACCCACCTGCAGAGCCAGGGGAGCAAGGGGCTGCATCCATCCCCACCTGCACTCCTGCTCTGCTGCTCCCAGAGCCCACCACACCCCCACAAGAGACCATTTCAACAACTTGTCTGCACCAGCCCTACAGCCCATGCCCTCGCTGTGCTGAGCCCCAGCCCCAGCCCGGCTCCCCGGAGCAGCCCTAACGCCACAAGTACCGTGGGCGTACCCGGGGCACTCAGCTGGGTACTGCAAACTCCTCACCCAGCAGCTGGTGCATCAGTAACAAAGCTAAAAGCACCCACTGGCATGGACTGTCCCCCTCAAGAGCAGAGACATTTGTCAGCAGCTCAGCCCTCTATGTCACAGGTGCCATCCCTGCTGAAGGGCAAGGGCTGCTGGGTGCCACCCTTCCACGTCAGAGGGCCCAGCAGGTGGGGAAGGGGAGACCCTGGAGTGCCAGCAGCCTTCTTACTGTTCAACCAACACCCAGCCTGCTCCCCTCAGCACAGCCCCCAGAAAGCCCAGCCACCTGCAGCAGGGCCCCCCTCATTTCAGGGGGCCATGGGCTGGCTCCATCAGCAGCGCTGGTAGGAGTTTGCTGTAGACAAGTGAATCAGTGCAACAGATGAGCAGCTCCTGAAGCATCTACCCACAACGTACAGCAAGAAGAGATGCAATTTCAGGCTTATGGCAGATGCTGGAGGGCTTGTGGTGCTAAAAAAAAAATTTAAAAAATAAATCTCAACACCTACATATAATAGATAGCTTTCTAGGACAAGGAAATCCTGCAGTAGCTGGAAGAAAACCAATCACAGTTCCCAACTACATTTGAGGTAAGGAAACAGAACATGGTCCAAAACAACATCTCCTAAAGGTCAGTTTCACAAAACTAGAAAGAACCAGACACAAAAATAACTGAGAGAAAACATCTAAATATAAGTAAGTGTGACAATGCTTATTGGAGGATGTTTAAAGATGCCTTAGTAGAGTCCTCTTTCCCACCAAGAAAAGCAACAGTATATTTTTAAAATATTATTTGGTTTAAAATAGAATTTTTTTAAGGCAAGAGCCAAACTTTTTTAAAAAGTAAAAAAATATTTAAATCTACTAATTAATTAGAGCAAATTTTATAGAATTCAACACTTTTTATAAAGAAAGATAAAATATATTTTAAAAATCTAGAGACAATAGGATTATCAGGAAAAAAGCAACAATCTATCAATACATTAGGCTTGTTGCTAAAAAAAGTACAGTGAAAGTATCCTAATATAGACAATGCAGAAAGTATAAGCATTACTTTTATCTTTGAAAATAAGGATGACTTAAATCTCAGCTATAGCAAAATTCTCTGAGAAGCAAGCTGGGAAGATCCCCAACACCATCTGCTAACCATCCTTCACATCTGTAACAAGAAAACCTGGACTCGGAGCCTATGAAGGAGCTCACCCAAATTCCTAACATTGACTTAAGAAAAAAACCAAAACAAACCAGAAGCCTGTCCCAGGCCAGCCAGGAAGTTCCAGAGGTCTTGGGATAATAAATAAAAAACCCTGCTCAAGCAAACAAAACCTTAGCACAGTGCCAGTATTTCCAGAGGGCAAACGGCTGACCTGGGAAGTGCAGGCTGCTCACCCTGCCCATGCTCTCAACAGGGCAGGGAGCGGCCAGCGCTCAGGGACGGAAACACAACTCCTGTTAGTCAACACAGTTTTCTGGCTGGAGGGCTTGTCAAACAGATCTAGGATTTCTTCTTAAGAGTTTGCATTTGGCTGACAAAGGTAACTGCTGACATAATATGTACAGACTTCTGCGCGATGCCCGACTTTGGCTGGGGTGACAGCTCAAGAACAAAACCCTCCTCGCTGTGCAAACAGCCGTGTGTAGTGTAGATCCAGAGGATTAAAAGCCAGTTGAGCCCAATGACCTCATTAGAGTTGTACCTGCACTGCCTGCCCCTAGAGAGGTTGTGGATCCCCAGAGATGGCATTCCCAAGGGCGAAAAGGGCCTGTGAGGCAGCAGAAATTGCTCTCTGCACACTAAGCTCCAGGCAGCACTGCTGGGAGACATGGGTTTCCAGGGAATGCATGTTTGGGCTGGGTGCTGAGTTTGCAGTGAGCCCAGCAGAACTAGAGAAGGGTATTGCTAGAGCCTCTGCCTAGGGAGCAGGCTAACTCATTGAAAAATATTGGCTGGTCTTAGAGCTGATTTTCACATTGTAAAGCTGGCCAGAGGCAGAATGGAAGGCTGTAAACTCAGCCATGGCAGCAGCCTTCAGCTGGTCCTGATCCCACACGTGCCCCATTATACACGGCTCACTATCATTGTTTCTTACTTGGGTCCTAATCTGAGCACCTTCCAGTAACAACACGGAACACATCAACTTATGTTATTTATACCTTCCCAGGTGGAAAGAGAAGTGTGATTTCTCTTGAAAGAGTAAGTTCTTCCCAATTCCCCCAGTGCCCAGCGCAACAAAATGATGGTCAGGTTTGTCAAAGTTTTCAGATGCCAAAAAATTTCACCCCTCCCAAAAAGACATAGACATACTTCCTGTGAGAGGAGCAGGGCTATTCCTCACACCCTTCACCCTCAATCATGTCACTGCCCTGCCCTGTCTGTATGTTTGGACATACAGACCAAAGCCTGGAGCTTTCTTTGAACCTCTCTGACCACACAAATATCTCCAAATGTCCAGGTAACACTGGATGCAGGAAAACCTGACACCAGCCATTCTCCAGCATGACTGGCTGAACAGCCAGCTCTGGGTGTGAACTGTCTACCACAAAGGGCACCTGGGGCTTTCAGTGAATCCCAGTTTCCTCTGCCCACGGACACCACTTACCTCCTTCTCCTTGTTCAGTTCCAGGCAAACGCTGATGTGACATGCTGCCCAACAGTCACACTCTTGTAGCTATGTGCCATTGCAGCTGTGGGCAGTGCTGAAGTGACAAGTGACAAGTTCTTCAAAAATGTCCAGGGTAACAGACCAAAAACCCCACCCTCACAAGAGTGATCACCCACCACAGCTACTGAAGCAGCGCCAGTTACACGTCCTGGCCTGAATCCAGCTTATCCTGACAATACAGTTTTAGCTCCAGCTGATGACCTTGCATGAGCTTGCTCCAGAAGTGGATGACTTGGTCCTTCCAGGATTTGGCAAGAGCTGACACAGCCATCACAGGTGCCCTTTTCATTTATTGAACTGGCTTAGGGTATATTTGCACATAGATAAACTCTTTGTCCAAAGGACTTCAATCTGGCTGCTGGGTTCCAGCTGAGCCCCTCATTCACGTGGCTGTTCCCATGTCAGGAGGAGCACAAACTGAGCTGAGATCCCTGACTTTTTGTCCTGTATCAGGAAGGCTGACAGACTGCTTACTTGCCGACACAGAGAGATGCAGTATTGTCTGAATTCCCTAAGCACATAAGATCTTTTTAGCAACACAAGATGACAACACTTAGATGCAGATTAGACATTTTACTTTACTGAATCAGACCACCACCACTGGCCTGACAACCTCCTGCAGCTGAACCCCTTCGTGATTTAACACAGGCATTCCCAGTTTAGGCTGTGACTGAAGGAGGAACAGTGCTCAGGGGAACAAAACAGGATAGGTCTTGGGACTTACCACTGCTTCAAAGTCTGTCACACTGAATTCTCCACTAGTCACACTCAAGTTCTGTGTGCAATAAGAGCCATGTCCCCTCAAATCAGGAAGGTTAGCACTGTTTGCACTTGTGTTGACTTTATTCGTACACACGGACAGCTTGTACAGAGAGCAGACAACAGGCTACTGACAAGGACTAAGATCTGGGAAATAGCTACGTGATCAACACAAGCTGTTCTTTTTCACTTTCACGGGAGCTTTAACTCAGCTCATAGTGGAGGCAGTCTTAAAACATGACATGCATTCAAGTGATCAACAATTTGAAAGGTAATAAAAGCCATTAATAGCTTCAAATCTGCTTGCAGACAGATAACATAAACAGATAGTTATCCTGGGAGAGGGTAGGGTGCTTTTCTTCCCCAGAACCACTGATTACAGTGGTTCAGATTACAGGCTTGCAGCACCCACATTTTAAAGCAAAGCTGAAGAGAAGAGCAAATACCTTTTCCAGCTATACTGCAGTTTCTCATAAACCCAGTACAGCCTGTCTGTGTACTGCAGGTGCTATGGGCAGCGTTTTATGCACCAGTTAAAAAGCAACTCACTGTTTGAGGTCACTGCATCCAGCGCCTGCCCAAGCCAATGGCCATTTCTGTGCTCTCTATCATTAATAAATCAATCAAATGTTAGAGGCTCTGGAGTGAAATTGTCCTGGCAGCCTTATCCATCAGATACTTTTACTGGACCATGTTGAGTTACTGCTTATTTACAGAAGACTGAGAGAGACACTGAGACATCAGCATCCCAAAATACTTGCAACATGCACATCATAAACACTACAGGTATTTCATTAAAGCCATTTTAGAAGCTATAAAACTGAAGGTCATTTTATGTCTCTCTCTATAAAAGCAGACAGTGATATAGTCCTCAGTAAAACATACTCTATGGTGCAATTTAAGCAGCACTACACAGCCTACTTGAAACTCCTTGCTTATATCCAGGATAAGTTCTCTGTTAATACTGATATCCAGTATTTCTTTGCTGAAATAACAAGACTTTGAGGGAAAGAAATTTACATCCTCAAATAACACAGCCTTCTTAAAAATACCAAATAATATCGGTTTAACAATTTCCTAGATGAATTCATCAGGGAGGTTAATATATAAGGCTACAAAGCAGACTTCCAAAGTTACCCGTGGAAAAAAACATAAAAATTCTTCACTCTGCTTTCAGCATAGCAAATTTATGATAAAAATATTAAAACACTGAAAGGCTGGAACACAAAAGCAAGTGCACAACGTTGTAATGGACTTGTCTTAAAAACCCGAGCACTCCTGCTCGGGACCTGACGCGGCACTCGGAGTCGTCCTCACCTGCACCTCTGCCCCGCTCCTCGCAGCGCGGGTCGGCTGAAGGGACGTGGGTTTTACCTGAGCTGGCTCCTCCGTCTGCAGCTGCCTCTGGGGGACAAAAGTTTCGAAAAGTCGGAGGACAGCAGCAGCAGCGGGACGGCACAGGCAGAGAGTTAGCCGGGAACCCGGCGGCAGCCCGGTCACCGGAGAGAAGCGACGGGCGGGCACTACTCCGGCTCACCGGCAGCTCGGAGCCCTTGGCCGGGGCAGACGGGACCCGGGGCTCGCCCTCACGGCCCCGGTGCGGGACTGCCGTTCTGCTCTGGCCGCCCCCGCGGGCTCCTGCCGCGGCACAGCGGGGCCGTGCGGGCCGGGCGGCGGAGCCCGGGGCGCGGAGCGGTGCGGTGCGGTGCGGGGCCGCTCCGCTCCGCCCGCCCCTCGCGCCCGCCCCGCGCCCGCCTCGCGCTCACCGGCGTTGCGGAGCTTCTTGTTCCGCAGCACAGACAGGATGACCAGCGCGTTGCCCAGCACGTCCACCACGATGGTGAAGATAAGCACGGCCGCCAGGCCGGTGGCGGCTCCCGCCGCCGAGCCCCCCTCCAGCCGGCAGCCCGGGCAGCTCCCGTTGCTCCCCGGCCGCTCCATGCGCGCCTCTGCCCGCCGCCGCCGGGGCCCCTCCTCCTCCTCCCGCCCCGACGGCAGCTCTCACCCCCGGGCCCGGCCCGGCCCGGCCCGTCCCGGGGCGAGCCCGCCGCCCCCTCCCCGGCGGTGCCGCCGCCCTGCCCGGGGCGGAGCGGGGGGGCCGGGCGGGGGTGCCCGGTGCGCGGCGGGGGCACTCGGGCGCTCTCCGGGCCGATGGCGCCACCGCGCGGCGGCACCGGGCGGGGGTCCGCGCTCGGAGCGGCCGGTCCTGCCGCCCTGACAGCCCCACAGCCCCGCCGGCCCCACAGCCCTGACAGCCCCACAGCCCTGACAGTCCCACAGCCCTGCCGGCCCCAGAGCCCTGACAGCCCCACAGCCCTGACAGCCCCACAGCCCCGCCGGCCCCACAGCCCTCCCCGGCCCCACAGCCCTGCCCGCCCTCCCGCCGGGACCAGCGCACCCGCTGCTCGCCCGGCGAGCCCTCGGGCAGAGGCGCGGCAGGGAGAGATTACGAGGCGAAGTTTCGCACCTCGAGTCGCTGAAACCTTTCCCGGTGCCTTTGCTTCCCACCGCCCTGCAGCTCCGCTCCCAGCCAGCCACCCCTCAGGCAAACCCATCCCACAGGGGCTTTTTCAACCAATTACGCCAGAATAAGACCATGCACTTTAGGTTTTATACTTCTTACTGATTGTAACGTGTGCACTGCAGAGTCCCCAGCACTCAGCGGCTTCTCAGCCGCAGGAAAACAGCGCTCAGTCGGGATACCCAGCTTATGTAGCCGGGATACCCAGCTCCCGTAGCCAGGATACCCAGCTCCCTCGGCCGGGATACCCAGCTCCCTCAGCCGGGATACCCAGCTTATGTAGCCGGGATACCCAGCTCCCTCAGTCGGGATACCCAGCTCCCTCAGCTGCAATACCCAGCTCCCACAGCCCAGCCCCGTGGCTGGGGCTTCCAGGCACCTTCTGTGCTTTATTCCACACCAGCATGAGCAAGAAGACACCAAACCACTGTGGTCAGGCTGTGGCTACAATACCACAACCACATGAGCTCTCAGCTTTGTTTAGAAAACAAAATCAGAAAAGAGGAAATAGGGATACTATAGAGCCATGGAATGGTTTGAGTTGGAAAGGACCTTAAAGATCATTCCATTCCCATTCCCCATGATGTGGGCAGGGACACCTTCAGGAACACCAGGGTGCTGAGAGCCCCATCCAGCCTGGCCTGGGACATTTCAAGTGATGGGACATCCACAGCTGCTCTGGGCAGTCTGTGCCTCATCATCCTCAACAGTCAAAAATTTCTTCCTTATATCAATCTAAACCCACCCTCTGTCAGTTTAAAGCCATTCCCTCTTGTTCTATCACTTCATGCCTTTGTCTAAAGTCCTTCTCCAGCTCTCTTGCAGCCTCTTTAGGGACTGGAAGGTGCTATAAGGTGTCCCTGAAACTTTTTCTTCTCCAGGTTGAACAACCCCAGCTCTCTCAGCCTGTGTTCATAGCAGAGATGCTCAGCATCAGCCATGGGCAGGACAGAGGGCAGGTCCATGTTAGGCTGTCCAGCACCACCTCCTCTGGCTCCTGCCCAAAGCCACCCCTCTGTGTGCAGGTCAAAGTGTCCAAGCAAACATTAAGGCTGTGTCACAACCCACCATGGGGGTTTTACAACTGCCTGGTCGAGTGAGTCAATAACAAAGCAAAAATCAAAGCCTTTGATGGCTCATTCCCTGCCAGCAGAGTACAAGGCACGGCAGAGGCCACCAGCAAACAGGGTCTGCCCTGGCCTGGTGGCCCAGGGTCAGAGCCAGCCCCACATCTGCGTTCCTAACCTTGCTGAGCCAACACGCCTGAAATGTCTTCTTACCTTTTCCCCATGACTGAAGAGCACTCAATTTCGAGAAGAAAAAAAAAAGGGGTTTTAAACAAAATTATAAAAATCCTGCATTCTTGAATTGTTAAAGACAGCCTTTTGGCTTTGTTATGATCTTTTGGCTTCCTTTTGACACTCTGCACTGAATTCTGCATAGTTTTGAAAATATTTTCTCTGTGTAAACCAAATAATTTTGTTCATGGACTTTCAGCTGCTCTGTTCAGGACATACCTGCAGACAGGAGTAAGGTCAACTCTCATGGGCATATCCTTTCAGCACGTTTCACCTCCACTCTGCTCTTCTCTGTCAGTTTTGCACCATTTATAAGATGCTCTCAGGAGTGTTTCAGCTGTGGAGAACTAGGATGTGACTTCAAAGGACCTGAACTTTACATAAAAATATCTTGACAAGAGCACCAAAGCTACCCAAAAAGATTTTGGCCTCACACTTAAAACCTTGCTCACAGAGCAGCGCAAGGTAAAGGGAGTGAAACATTTCATTAAACAAATGCAACTGGAAAAACATAAAAAGGGCTTTTTATCTGGCCACTTCTTTTGGTGTGTAATTTATACCTGCAAAAAGCAGTGTTTTTCCACAGCCTGGAGTTACTGCCCTCGACGGGAAGGTCTGCAGAGCTCTACCAGGCATGTGTGCATCTGCATAGCTGCAGCAACTAATCTTCTGTAAGAAACTTAGAAGCAATTATGATAGATGTAGTGAGCAACTGTTTTCATCACTGGAATGATTTAGATGAATGATCTTCAGGCTGTTTCCTCCCACCTTCCTGCTAAATGGACTCTCCACTGGTTCAATTAAGACAAGACAAGCATTCTAGGAAGCAGTGGCAAGGGGAAAAAAAATTAAGGTAGAGGTATCTATGAGACTTTTTTAATTACACTTTACTAGAACTGCTGACATAAATCACGCTGAAATAAGAGTATCCCCCCTGTGTTAGAAGAATTTAGGCTCATTTCATTATGCAAGGATCATGAATGTGATCACAGGAGAAGGCATCTGAATTAGGGTCAGAACCCTTCAGTACCTGAACTACACCAGGGAGAGTAGGTACATGCATGCAAACAGGAAGACCAAGTAGAATGTAATCAGTGCAAAATATTCAAGCAGCACAAATGCACACTCCTTGTGCAAAATTGTCACAGCTTTGCTAACAGGGATGCTGAGAGGGGCAGTGCCTGGCACCCTCCTGCCATGCTCATCACAGCAGCCCGGTGCAGAGCATCTCTCATCCCTTGCTGACCATGTCCAGTGGCACAAAACAACCCTATTTCCCAACCCTACCTAGCAGGGTGCACAGCTTAGTAAGAGTTAATCCAGGTATACTGTAATAAATGGAAGCTTACATAATTGAAAAATAGCTGAGGCATTAATCTTCCTTCTCGCTACCTTGAGTCCTCTTTAAAAAGATTATTTTGTCTTCAGAGACAGCTTTAATGCTACTTAATGAATCGCTTATAAATGAAGAATTTTTTCCCCTCCTATACAGGGACAGGCTGACTACTACCCTGATTGTCACAGAGACAATTAACTTTTGTCAAATATACAAAGATAATAGCTGTTCTCTACAAATACTACTATACTGAATTTGGCATATTTTAGGCAAATTTTTCTTGCTGTTTTGACTAAGCATGCTTAGTGACAGTGACATACCCATTCCCTTTAGCCAGACCTGGGGAACTCCTCATGCTTACTAAAATAATTAGTGGCTCCCTGGGCACGTGCTGGAACACGTAGGTTACACTGGATCAGGATTACCAGGTTGGAAATTTCAGAATTCCAACATGAGCTCAGTCAAAGGTGTCTTGGCATCCCACTTCAAAGCAGGGAGGAGACATGAAAAAAAAATGAGAGACATACAAAATCAGAGCCTCAACTTCCATGCTGCCTGTCTCAGTTGCAGACAGGGTGCAGGCAATGCAGGCAAGCCTTCTTTGATCTGTAACCCCCTCCTTGCAAAAGCAGGCACCAGGACCACAGAGACCACCAGGACCATGGGGCAGGTTAGTGGTTTCCTCACTAAAAATAACTCCAAGTGAGCTGCAAGGGCAATTTTATAGTCACTCCTGACACTGAGGTCCCCAAGCAGTAGCACTCAGTTGTCTCCCTTGCCCATGTCCCACCAAACACCTGCTCTGTTCCCTAGATAACACACACACAGGGCAAAAATGCTGAATGAAGCTGAACCCCTCTTGTCCCACTACACCAGCCTAGCCAAGTACTTGTATTTATTTCTAACAAAACAGCAGGCAATGAAAGTTCTCAACACACAGGCATTTTAACTCAAGCAATGGCCTTTGGGAGACACGCTAAGCAGGAGCAGAAATGAGGCTGATAAATCCTTTGCCACAAGGACTACTTCCACACTCTTTATTCCCTGCATGGTTGCTCCTGTGATGAGCAGAGCAGGTTTCCTCCACCCCTGAACAGACTGGGTGAGAGTGTAGAGGTCTCTGCTGCCTCCCATATTGGTACCAGCAGCCTACAGGTGTTGAATGCCACAAGGATGCAGTGCTCAGCCACTGGAAAGCTTCAGCACGTGCTTTTCCAGTACAGTCTGGTTTATTTGTTTAAGAGTCTGATCTAGAGCCCAGACAATGGAGGTTCATTCCTTGGTGCAGTCTAAGACTCACTGAGCCCACAAACACAGCTGAAATAAGTCATTTAGTCCTGCCATGCATCATGACTATTAGCATAAAAATAAGGGTAAACACCTTCTCCTCCCCAACCCTTATCTCAATTCTGCTCTTAAATCCAGCATGTGGCTGGGAGACAGAGTTATTCCCAAACCATTACCTATTGCCTATAGAATTAGCAATATTCCTATTGCCTATAGAATAAACCATTACCTACAGGGGAATCACTATCGCCCACCTGCAGCTCCCTAGCCAAACATGTACAGCACTCGTTCCTCTCTCCCAGACTTCTCTCTCACCCAGTTGGACTGTGCAGCTATGTGCAGAAGCAACACAGCTGTATTGTACACAGTGTAAGAGAATCCCAGTCCTGGGAAAAACAGCACTGGCTGCTTCAGCAATAAATAGATGAATGCAGCAGCTTGCCCTGAGCTGCCATCACAGAGGAGATCAACAAACAAGCAGCTCTATTTACGCTGTCATGCTTGCCTAGAAACTCCAGACAAACCAACAACCTCGTGT